ATTATTTCATTTTCTCGATTTTTATTACTGATGTGTAATGCTCCCAGTGGTAATCTGATGATTGCACATGTTGTTATAGACGAATGTGCTATATAAATTTTCTCGAATATGTGTTAGCAGAACTTTATTGTTGATGTCAACAATTTTAGTTTTCCTGTTGTTTCTTTATTTCATGGTTTCTTGTTTGTCAATGTGTTTGTGCGTTGCTCTTGTACTGACACGGGTATTTTGTCCCTTTTCCTGTCATCTAGTAATGGCTGCAGAATGTCGGCAAAGAATGCTATTAATTACATACTCTGAAGAAATTTTGGATGGTGAACCAATAAATGTATCATCCAATTGCCTTCCGGTCAAGGCACTAAACCTCGAACCAGCTGGGCATGCTTTTCACTCTGCTGCTCTTAGGTCGGTTGGCCACTCGGTGGAGGCAGATGCAGAAGATGACACTGATAAGGAAGCTCCGAACCAGAAAGAACGTGTATACGTGGAGTCATCTGAATCATACAGCAGCAAGGGGAAGAAGAAAACTAGCGGTGGTGAACAGGATCATTATGCCTTATTGGGTTTGAGCCACTTAAGGTATCTAGCCACTGAGGATCAGATCAGGAAAAGTTACCGTGAGGCTGCCCTGAGACATCATCCCGACAAGCAGGCTGCACTCTTGCTTACCGAGGAAACCGAGTCTGCCAAGCAGGCTAAGAAGGACGAGATAGAAACCCGTTTCAAGGCCATTCAAGAAGCGTACGAGGTTCTGATCGACCCTGTTAGAAGAAGAATATACGACTCAACTGACGAGTTTGATGACGAGGTCCCTCAGGAATGTGCACCGCAGGATTTCTTCAAGGTTTTTGGGCCTGCCTTCATGAGGAACGGGCGTTGGTCTGTGGCCCAACCTGTCCCTCCACTTGGGGATGATACAACGCCACTAAAAGTAGTGGACAGCTTTTACAATTTCTGGTACAGCTTCAAGAGCTGGAGGGAATTTCCTCATGCTGATGAGTTTGACCTTGAGCAGGCCGAGTCCCGTGATCACAAGAGGTGGATGGAGAGGCAGAATGCGAAGCTCTCGGAGAAGGCGAGGAAGGAAGAGAACGTGCGCATACGTACCCTTGTCGATAATGCCTATAAGAGGGACCCGAGAATATTGAGAAGAAAAGAGGAAGAAAAAGCCGAGAAGCAGAGGAAAAAGGACGTGAAGCTTTTGGCCAAGAAATTGCAGGAGGAGGAGGCAATTAGAGCTGCCGAGGAGGAAAAGCGCCGGAAAGAGGAGGAAGATAAGAGGGCCGCCGAGGCCGCCTTAATTGAGAAAAAATCCAAGGAGAAAGAAAAAAAGCTGCTGCGCAAGGAGCGAGCCCGCCTCCGGACGCTTTCCGGGCCAATCTCGTCTCAGCATTTGCTTGACCTTACTGATGAACACGTGGAGAGTCTTTGTTCGTTTCTGGATAAAGAGCAGCTCCGAAGCTTATGTGATCAGATGGAAGGAAAGGAAGGTGTAGAGAGTGCTAAGATTCTGAGAAAGGCACTCGAATCCGATCTCAAGCTGAAATATGAGAAGGAGGGCGAGCACAATTCAAAGCAGAATGGTCCTGTAACTGGTCACGGGCAAGTTTCTTACATCGGCAACGAGAAAAAGGAAAAACCATGGAGTAAAGAAGAGATTGACCTTCTGAGGAAGGGCATGGTGAAATACCCGAAAGGGACATCCCGAAGGTGGGAGGTGATTTCTGAGTATATCGGCACCAATAGATCTGTGGAAGAGATTCTCAAAGCCACAAAAACGGTCCTTCTGCAGAAGCCTGACTCAGCCAAAGCATTCGACTCCTTCCTTGAGAAAAGGAAGCCGGCAAAAACAATTGCATCTCCCCTTTCGACTAGAGAGGACCTGAAGAGTGAGCTGAGTGGGAATGAATCTGTTGACTCAGACAATTTTCCCAAGCCGTCAACAAATCAAAGTGGAAACATCCCAAGCTCGGATGACAGTAGTATGATGGCTAATGGAATTAGTTCAAGTCCAGATCAAGATATCCTGTGGTCGGTTGGTCAGGAAAAAGCTTTGGTCCAGGCTCTGAAAACTTTCCCAAAAGAAACTAGCCAGAGATGGGAACGGGTTGCGGCTGCAGTTCCAGGGAAAACCATGGGCCAGTGCAAGAAGAAGTTTGCGCTGATGAAAGAGAGCTTCAGGACAGGTAATGCAAACATCTCAAGCAATGATGATTCTCAGGAGTCATCCACTTCAGACGGGAAAAGCAACAAAAGTGCGGTGAAAACAGAGTCCGACATGAAAACAGAGTCCGACAATGGCACACCATCAGGTTCTGATACAGATGCATGGTCCGATGTTCAGGAGAAATCATTGATCCAGGCCCTCAAAACCTTCCCTAAAGAAACTAACCAGAGGTGGGAGCGTGTGGCTGCGGCTGTTCCTGGGAAAACGGTAAATCAGTGCAAGAAAAAGTTCACATTGCTTAAGGAAAGCTTCAGGAACAAGAAAAGTGGCGTTTAGTTTATTTAATTGCTGGCAAGAATCTTCACAGCTGGGCTTTATTATACTACAATATCTTTATAGCATATATCGCACAATCCATATGCTTTCATCATTGGGTTCATGTCATACTGGTTTGATCAGAATTTTAGATTCTTCCTTTTACAAATGGAGCATGTTTTCCAAAGGAATAGAGTTCATTATATTTCCTTTTGTCTCTGTCCTGTGAGAGTGTTAAATTTCCTGTAATTCTTTTGCCCTTTGTTGACAGACTCGAAAAGGGTGAGGCTTGGCCCCCTACAGTTTTGGCTACAGTTTTGATTATGTAATGGAAGACGACATTTTTCATTATCTCCTGTGTACTTAGCTGATAAATGATGTTTTTTTTGGTTATTAAAATTCATGGGAATGAGATTTATTAGTTGAATCAGTGATTCAATTTTCTGTTATTCAATATGCATGCAAAAGAACAGACAATTGCTGCAATTTGTGACTTCATTATGCAACTCTTGACGAGCAGGGTGTTATTAGGCTCTGCAATTTGTGACTTCATTATGCAACTCTTGACAAGCAGGGTATTATTAGGCTCGACAAAATTGACCTTTCTACCTTCTATATTTTTTGCAGGATTTATCAACTTTATGTTACTTTGTGTGTTTTTAAGAAGCGGGTTATATATAGAGATGGGAAGAAAGCAGAGATTGTAAATTTATAAGCTTAGAACTTCCTTGACACTATCATTTTTAAACAATCATGCATTTAGAAAAGAAAACATGGGTTACTATTCTATTAGTAAAATAAGCAGGTAAAGAATATTGAAGATTCTCCAGAGAGCCAGGTCAAGACTGTTTTGCTTGCTACACTCCCAATATTTTTCATCCTATTTTCACAAATCTCTGCAATACTCTCTTTATCTTCGACATTGAGAGGATCTTCAGAATGCAGCCAGCCAGAAAGACTAAGGTGTTCGTTCGTATGGGTAAAGTGCAGTGAACTCAACGCTTCATGGGACTATAACGAACTCTTTTTCTATTTTTGCAGGGGAAGATGAATACACCGGAAATCTCTTTATG